GTAATTTGCATTTTTCTTATATTCCGGTCTCTTACTAATTATAAAAAAAATGCAGATTTAATTAACAGATAATTTGTAATAACAATATAACATTATACTGTAAAGCATAGCAAAAGTTTAAATTATTTATATAAAAAAGTGCGCTAAATATTTATGGAAACCCATTTATTTGAACTGAAACAACTTCTTGCATTGTTTTGAAAAGTCAAGTTTTATTAAATTCACTCTACGGCAATAACAACGTTTTATGTTTGAATCTAGGACCATTGTCCTCGGACAATACTCTTTTCATTAACCCAAATCGTGCCGAACCCACATGTATCAGATCAATTATTGTTATTGGTTGCAACGTCACCAATAACTTTATTTATTAACAATAATGGCCCACATGCTTTTACACAAAGTGCAACATGCAGGCGGCCGATACAAAATAACGCGAGAAAGGAAAACTGTAGGTTAGATTTTTTTAACTACCATTTGTTACCGCATATACATAACATTTTATTTATATTTTCCAATTTTACCTTTAAAATGCCCATTATCGTACATGTTTTGACACTAAGTGACCTTTTAAATACACATTGTCAAGTTGTGGCTTTATTGCGCTTTAGTCACGGGCTGAAGTTAGAAACAGGTTTTTAGTCACGGGCTGACATTATTTTTAAGTTAGTTGACAGTTGTCAAATGTCATACAATCGTTAAAATAAAGTGCCTTTCTTGTAAAATAATACTAAATGTGAAAATTATTTTATTATCTCAATACAAAAATATTAAATAGTTTCTCAACGCCAATATTTGAAAAAATTATATGAACGTTTGTACTGACTCTTTGATTTCGCTGTAGTAGTGCAGTAAACTAGATTTAACTGATGAAGCGTTAAAAGTTTTGCGAACAGTGCCCATAAAACATTATCTTCTCTTTTACTGTAAAAAACTGCTTCTTTATCGATAGTTGGTCTATTTCCAAGGGATAAATTTTGATTTACACAGAAAAATTTGAAATTTTAACGCCGGTAGATTCTCAACTTAAAAATTCTAACGAGAATTCTAATAAATACAACTGTGACTTTTTGTACCTTTAAACTTTTTATAAAATTTTTAATACTTTGTGATAATATTTTGCAATTATATTAATAAAAAAATCAAAGGATAAAATGGATAACGCCTATCGAAAAGGAACCAAGCGCCAACAAGTTTTTCTAGGGTTAGTAAAATTATTTGTAAAATATCTCATTTTTAATAATGCTCAAAAGGTTGATCATCATTTGTAACTCATCTCAAAAGGTTTGAGAGGGTTCCCAAATCATTAATTTTTTGGGCAGCATTAAAAATGAGTTATTTTGCAAATAATTTTGTTTACACCAGAAAAAGTTTTTGGGGCTTGGTTACATTTTGATAAACGCTATCCAGATATTTTCTTAACATAATCATATTTTAAAGTTTAATAATAATTGTTAAGTTTAATTAAAATAATAACGGGCAATGTTAATGGTAAAAATTACGTCAAAAATGTTTATTGGGATGGTTACTTTATTTTTGTATAGATGTCGCTTTGTACAAATTTATATTTAAGTAATTTAAATCATTTTAAAGATAATATTAAGTAATTATTAAGCATATATGCATATATATAATTTAAAGTGAAATATCTTTTTTGAGCTAAACTTTTTGAATCCTTATGTTTGTTTTTATCAGCCATTTGTCATTCAAGAGTTGAAACATCTCTGTGAATTTAAAAAAAAATTATCCAACAGTAAAATATACAAAAAAAAGTTGCTTATTTTTCAAACTTTTTTAAAAACAGACTAATCGGGACTTTTTGAAAACAAACAACCGTGCGTGTCCTGTTTTCTCCTTTTAACACAATATAGTTAAATCTAGATGAAGCCAAACATTTTTGTAAATATAATTAAAATCGGAAAAACATTGTTCATGTTACAGCACTTTGAACTTTAAAAATTGTCATATTTATGCTAAAAAAACGATATTTTGTTCAAAATAACTTCATGAATGTGTACTATTTATTTTTAGTTTAATTAGAACCCATAGCTATATTACCAATGATCTCTGATTAAAGTATTCGATTAATAAAATGTAATGTAATGTAATTTTTGCATGCCTAAAAACAAAATAAACTAATAAGCAAAATGATGGTTGTTTACTGTCGACCATTTGTTTTTAAATATTGTGGTATAGTCAAGAAAAGTACGACCAACTGGCTTAATGCCTATATTTTAGTTTATTTTTAAAATTATTACTATTTAATAAAAAGAACCTTACATAATATTAACAAATAAATTAGGTTATACAATTTTGTTTTATTCATTTCTTTAAATATTACACTGAAAGAAATATATACTTAAGTTAAATACAAAAATAATTAGGGCAAATATATTTTATGTTTTATATATGGACTACCACATACATTGTTAAAACAAATATATTCGTTTGGTTAGCAGCCTATTGCTGCCCTAGCAATATAAATGGTGTTTCTAGCAATATTTTTTTGCTGTAATTCACTTATAGTTTACATTTTATAGTAAGGGTAAGTTTATTTTTATTTAGATCTAACATATCTTCTTTACAATAAATGTATTACAAAATTTAACATACATTTATAATAAACAGTAGTATAAATGTGTAAAGCACTAGTATAAAATTTTTAGCATAAATTTGTATTTACTTTTAGCAACAAATTTCTTTCAGTGTACATTTAATTTACCTGCTCCAGAATCAATTAAAAGTCCCATGTTAACAGATAAAAATTAATCTCAATAAATCTTGCTTGTGGGTATTTACTAATATACGGGTGTCCCGAAAATGTTGTGCAATAAAAGTTGCCCTCAAAAAATTTGGGGCTAAAAATACCCTGTCTAAAACACTTATAATTAAAAAATTAAAATAATAAAATTTCATTATTTTACCCCTGTATACAGGGGTAAAATAATGAAATTTTGTATGCGTACTTAACTTTTTATGAAGAATTTAAAAATAACAACATTTTAATTTTTTAATTATAAGTGGATTTCTTCCTAATTTTGTCTAGAAACCACGTGTAGAGTATTGCATACTATTTTCGGGACGTCCTGTATCTTCACAACGTGGTATACCGTGGGCGCGCCATTTTCGGGACAACCCCTGTATAATGTTAAAAATGGTAAACATTTTAATATATTTTTATTGTTAAAACGCAGTGTAATACCAAAGAGGATGAATAGGTTCATGCGGAAAAGTTAAAACGATAAAGGAAGCCTACCAATTGGTTCTATTACCGAATAAAGTCAAAAAAGTGTCTGAAACGAGATAAACATTGCTGGGGATCGTCTGATCTATATGATCAATAAAACCTGATGTGATGGACTGCCGTGACGTACGCACTTCATTATCCATTCATTTATTCAGCAATAAACAGGCAAAAAAGTGAGGGGTGCCAAAATGTAACACCCGGGCTGTTTTTTTACGGAGCGACGACTTTTTCTCAATGGCACATTAAAATAACAATTAGGAACTCTATATGCATTATAATCAGTGAAGTATGCAGCTGCGTTATAAAATCTGCATTTTTTAATTCAAAATATTGGGAAATTTTAAATTGCATTTTAAATCCTCTATTTTACGCTTACTACGCTTAAAGGAATATAGGTAATCGTTATTTATTTATGGTATGTAAACCTACAAAGCCAAACTTTTAATGTTCTCATACGACTTTTTAATGATCGTGACGAATTGGTTTACGAAATATAGATTTATTGGTTCTCGCTTTAAAACTAGGGCAGTTTGTAACCCTCTGTTGTTGACCTGTGTCTATAAAAAGGGGTTTAAAATTTTTAAAAGACATGCATGAAAAGCTAACAAACAGCCTTTATTTTTACTCATTTTGTTTAATTTAAAAAATATTTTGCACCATATTGCATTTAATGCAAAAGTAACATCTGGTTCATTATAATTATTAATAAAAGCCCGAAACTTTCATTTTGGCCAATTTGTGTTAAAGTACTATTTCCCCTAAACATTAGCTTTTACTTGAGTGTTTTTATTACCTATAGTTTTAATTCGCCCAAAACTTTCATTGTGCCCCTACAAAGAGTGCTAAAACGTTTTATCAAAATAATATTTCATTGACCAACTGCCTAAGCTATTAATATTTCCCAAATCGTGTTATTTATTTAAGGCTTTCCAAGTGTTTTCCTTTGGACGATGGTGATTTATGAGAAAATTCATTTGTTTGTCCTATTATAACAACTTATAAATGTTGTTTTTGTTTAACTTTGTTTGTCAACATGCTTGTTAACAAATATTGAATAAAGAGTTTATTTATTGGCTTTATTAGGTAATGATTTATTATTGTACGTTTTATTTTGACACTTAAATGTCCTTCCGTTTCCTTAAATTCCCTTCAAACTTCACCTCTAAAAGTTTCCGTTAAACGTCCAAGCAAAGTCATCATTCTTTGGCACCATTTGTATTTGTCCATTCTCTCTGTATACTGCCCAAAAGGCACTTAGAGGCTTCCCCCAAAACGGATCCGGAAGTACATTGTCTTACCATGTATTTAGTTTATCAGATTAAGCAGAAAGTAACTCTATCGTTAAAGTTCGGTGTCCAGTTTCCAACATCCATCCCCTGGTAATGTAATGATCTCGTTTGGCGATAGCCAGGGCATGCCGCCCTAAGCATGCGTCCCTTCCTTAAGTGTAAGATACGCAGCACGAGCTAATGAGGTGAAAGATTAATGAACTAGTAAAAATTCACATGAAACGCTTTTACCAACTACATTTCAGTGAATTATAAAATGCTTTATTGATCCAATGCTATTTGCGTTGCGAGTTAACCCGAATTTGTTTGGCAGAGAGCGTAACATCATTTTTAAAATGACGTGGAAAATATATTTCCATATATTTCATCCGAATGGCTGGATATAAGTAGGGATGATCCTAAAAACCAAGTGGCTGGGTTTATATAAAAATACATTTTTTTATATAGTATTTATTTTGTTGCAGGAAAAACGACGTGGTCCTTCAGTATCAACTCAGGTAAGATCAGTCAGACGTAGTTTTAAAACAATAGTAGTTAACTAATAATTTAATTTAAAAATCGTACAATATGTTCTTAAATTTTAATTTTAAAAGAATATTTACTTAAATGTAACATTACAATCAATATGGTTTTTTAACGGATGATTTATTAATATGCAAAAAATAGAATATGCATAAAAATAAGAAAATAAACTACTTTTTAAATAGTTTTTGAAAACGGTTCAATTCCTAGAAACAATGTTGCTTGCAATGTTTTTTTGTTATTTTACATTTTGTTCTTGTTTTTTTACATTCTTAAGAATTGTTACTTTGCATTTTGAGCATGTGTGTATTTTTTATGTGCTTCATAGACAATTTTTACAGAATGTTTTTAAAGTATGAAATAAACGTCATTTGTCCCACTCTCTAAAAATTGTGAAAGTGGGGCACTTCTTGAGATATAGTCAATTCCATATTAAATGGAAAATTGGCTATATCTCAAAAACTGTTCTACTTTTTTTTAAGATTTGACGGTATTTTCGGATTCAGGGGACAATTTTAAATAAGAATTGGCTGTTAAATTTTGGGATACCATGGTATTCCATGGTTAACCATGGTACAAGTGAAAAAGAAGCCACTAATGACTATTAAATTAGTCATTTTTGACTAATTTATTTTTAGAGAGCACTCTTAATGGAATTTAGACATTATACGCTCGACAGAAAAGCTATTGTTACACTAGTTGAATAATTAAAATATTTTTCCACTGGTGGAACAATGAAAAAAAAGAAGAAAAATAATACAATTGTGAAAACTACATAAACTAAAGATAATTTTTTATTTACAGTTAATACATACTTACCTACATACACATGATTTTAAACATTGTTTACATATTTAGAATTAAATTTTAAAAGAAAATAATTACAAATAAAACAGAAAACAACTTTAGAAAACTTCAAAATCCTCAAAAACACTTATCTATTAAATTGAAAATGTCAACAATACAATTATACACCAAAATTTTAATACGCAGCTGTCAAACTCGTATTTAACCAACAAGTGCTTTTCAGAATTAGTCTGGAAAATGTTAAAAATATCTAAATAAAAACCATAAAACGATTTGTTGTGTTGGCGGTTCTCGAGAAGAAATCCGCGGTTGATTTTATACCGTTTCCCCAATAAACCGCCTTATGAAAGTAAAAGAAAAAAAATTGGTATTCCTAGTTTTATATTGTTATAATTATACTTTTAATGTGGCGGGAATATCTTCCTGCATTCTGTAGCCATTATTTTTATATATATGACTGATCTTTAAAGCGCATTAAATTATCTACAAAAAATTCCTTTGAATCAAGTTCCTATCGATAAAATAATATTATTGATATTTTATTTACAAATTGTATTTTGTTATGATAGGTGAAAAAGTTAAATTACAATTTATTAGATCATTAATTGTTAATATTTCGGGTTTTGTATTTGTATTTGGTATAACATTTTCTACAAAACTGTCTTAAAAAATGTATTGGATTATTAATATTAAATAAGTTATAAATACATTAATGTGGGCAAAAAAAAAAACTGGAAAAGTTTGAGCTCTTAATTATTTTCCATTTAAATAACACGGGAATTGTAATTTTATCGCGTTTTAACGAATCAGCAAGTTGTAGAAATCAATATATATTCTTGAAAGATCTACAAAAATTTACTAATCTTTTCTAATTAATTTCTTCATTAATGTATATATATATATATATATATATATATATATATATACTTAATTCATTAGAAATGTTGTCAACTTGAAAGCATTATATATGCCTCAAAAAATTATTATAATCGATGTAAGATTTAAAAAGTTATTTATGGTGAAAATAAAATTTCATTAAATTAATATTATTCCCATAATAAATTACAATTTTTCTAATAAAGGCGCGCCAATATATTTCTAATCCATTGTCGCTGCCAATAAATACATAAGAAAGCAATAAAAATGGAATTCACTAACTTCAGTCATTGTGACCAATCTATTGTTCGATAGTTTTTGATGGCTCTGGGTTCTGCGTATCGTATCGTATCGGGATCGACTTTTCTATCAATCGAAATTATATGTATACAATAACAAAGACGCCAATCACGAATAAAATAAAAATGGATGTCGATAAGACGTCGTCCCGCAGTCAGTCAGATGTCCTTTCTGGTGCCCGCCGATGCCAAAACAAACACACGAAGTTTTCTTTTCCCACGGACATCTGCCTTTTATATTTATTTGTTATTTTTGTTCACGACCACTATCTTGTTTTATATGGAAAGTAAAGTTAATTGAATAAGTTTGGGTGAATGCTAAAAGGAAGATGCTGTTTTAATTAAAACAAGATAATAGTTTTCAACAATAACGCAAACATTAGAAGAATTGGCGCGTTTCTCGGAAAAACATCATTAGTCCAAAATTAAAATATTTGGGAAAATGAAAAAAACTCTCCGACATTCCCATTTTTTACCAAAGTTCTTTATTGACCTATTTACTACATGTAAAAAAATGTAAGATACTTTGTCCAGAATTCCTCATGTTTTTTGTTTCGACGAATATGAAAAAAAAACACAATAAATACATGAACATGTGAGGTTTTTAGAAGAAAAAACGAACAATTCTCCTTACTACAAACACTACAAACTAAATATTAACTCTGAATAACAAAATAAATGAAAAAACTAAAAACTGTATAACTGCCACACTCAGTCTTCGCATCCACTGCTGTTATCATCGTTGTCGACCGTGTTATCAGGACTGTCAGGTGCTATGGTCTTCTGGTCTTTTATCAAGTTATCATAAAATTTTCTATTGCTGTGGTCATGTAAAAGAGGTAGAAGCTTTTCTAGAGTGTCCAAAAACGTCACATGTTATGCACATGTGACTTTCTTAGACGAAACGGAGTGGACTTGTGATGTTTTTAGAAGAACAAGCTAAATTTCATATTTAATTATTATGGAACCTATGACATTTTTACGAGAAACACTTATTTGTATACGTATATATGGAGGTTAGGAAACAGTTGGTGCTAATATCTAAATTTCGACGATATTGGACTAATGATGTTTTTCCGAGAAACGCCTCAATTTAAACAAAACCTTAACGTCAATTCGGGCAGCAACGGTTGCTGAGCAACCTCGTTGTGCCGGTCACAAAAGCAGGAAACGCCGCAGATGACAGCTTCGTGCTCCATAATTTACAAAACCAAAAATATATAGATGACTATCCCATATACCGCTACCCAGCTCGTTTTGGATTATGTTGCAAGTGGTAAATTATTACTCGAGTTCGCCCCTAACAGGTGCCAATTTATCACTGGAATCTTTTCCAATTTATCTGCGCTTCATACGTTCATCGCTATGGATACCGAATTTCGCATCCACCTTTTGCCAGGTGTTTTGCAGGAAGGGTGTCCCATAGAGCGGAAGATATACACAGAGCCCCGAGAACGAATGGCAATCGACGTTAATGAGTGAAAGCCGGATATCGAGCTTAAAATTATCGGGGAACAAACTGCGAAGTGACGTTAAAGAGACAACCGGCTGCTAAGAGGCGCTCAACCGTGCTCCGAATCGGGACTGGCTCGTCAATGATAACAAATCCAAAACGTGGATTAAAGACTGGTTTGTTTGCTGTCTCTAACCAAATATTACTGCATATTAATGTAATATGGTTTTTAATTACATTGACAAGCATTTATACACGTTTTAGAGTATGAAAAAAACTTGATCGGTTTAAAATGTGGTAAACAAATTATGAGTCACCGCTAATCGAAGGACATCTAAGATGGACCAATTACGGAGACAGTGGGTGAAACAAGTTACGTATTATATGATCAACAAATTTTGCCCAATGCAGAATTCGCTAGCGAAAATTTATAAATCCCCCTGATAGGTTAATGTTGTGGTACAACGAGGATCAATGTCAAGAACCGATCTTTCGGCAATTGTGTTTCAATAAGAAACCAGCATGGATTAAAAAGCAATTCGAAGGGCTAAACAACAAATTACCATAGTGGCGAACGGCCGTAATTGCCGCCACGTGGCCCGCCATTGTCGTAACGCTCCGCAAAAATGGCAAGGATTGCAAATCACGCGTCCGTGTTGTTGTTTCGAAGGATTCAAGATAATAGAACCATCAATTATCTAATCGAAACTAATTTGTATCCGTACGCGTACGCTAGTGACATCTACATGTTTTCGAGCAGACGAGAATATTTGTTGTATGTTCTTAATTGCAGAGGTAAAAAAATGCAAACCTTATATTAACCGATATTTATAATTACTAAATGTCGGTAGCATGAATAATAATTGTTTACAAAAATAATGAATAGGAAAAATGCGGCCGTTTAAAAAATATATAATTATTAAAAAATTATTACATTATAGTGTACTAGTATTATGATATTACAACATTAAAAGTAAAATTAAGAAAAGATCTACTAATGAATATAATCATGAAATTGTATGTGCTAATAGTATATTATGTATCAAGTTTGATAAACGCCATTTTATACACGAATTTAATTTAGGCACGAGCTAGCTTGCGAGCGAGTTCTTAAATTAATAAACGAGGTGCATACTATACTTTTTCTACGACAAATACTTATTATTATCTTAAAATGATTTAAATCAAAAATTTGTATAGAGCGCCATCTATGAAACAATAGGGGAATCTGTGTTAGGCACCGTCAAATGTCAAATTTTTCTGTGTTATATTATTGAAAATCGAACAAGAGTTTTTCTCAGTGAAAGTAAAGAAAATGTTTTATGAGCTCTTCACGGTGGAGTCCGAGCTCGAATTTAAGTTATCCAGTTTACTTTTGACGAAATTAAAAGGTCAGTACAATGTTCATATAAATTTTTCAAATATTTGCGTTGAGAAACTATTTAATGCTGGTATTTTTGTATTGCGATAATAAAATAATTTTCACATTTAGTATTATTTTACAAGAAGGGCACTTTATTTTTACGATTGTATGAAATTT